CTTAATTACTACATGCTATAATAGTATTTTCATTTGCTGATCATGTTGACTTTCTAGTATTTTATCTTTTTCCCATGTAGTATATACATCCACACTGCCACCTTGGCTTGTTGGAGAGAAAGTGTTTTACCTTTTGTATGATGAACTAGAGATGTTAAACGTCTGTTGCAAGTTTTGTTTGTTCCTGATTGTATTCCATTTTCCTCCTTCCTAGAGATGTGTCAGTGAATAATTTTCATGGTACAAATCCATCTCTCAGTACAGTTATTAGAACTTTTTCTCCCCATAACTTTTGGCCATAAAAACAAGTTTCCTAAATCACTTAACCATAGTTAGATTAAACCAATAAAACCAATTGAACCGAGCTCTGTGTGTTGTTTTGATTTCAAAAGGTGCTTTTAAAAAATTCACTAAAGCAATATGTCAGATAAAGCCTTGATTTGTGCAGGAGGCTTCCAGAAGCAAAATACTGTTTCAGTTCATTCAGTTGAAAAGAGATGCTTATGAAAAAAAACCCGTCCCATTTAGCCTCCTCACATTTGCTTTAGCAGAATTAAGAAGATGGCAATATTATGACAGAAACACCCCTGGAGTAGCACTTGAATTGAAAATTTTATAGAAAGGCTATTTAATTTTGGCAAACTGTTACCTCTGTTCCTTTCTGGCACCTTTGAATGCTTGACAACAATTCAGAGTTACTGAATGGAACACATTCCTTTTTTGTTTATATATCAGCAGGCTGTTGCCATTCAAGTCACATTTTGAATCTTATTGTTTATTTCATAGGTTGAAAACCTTATGAGCAGAGCAAAATTATCTTCTCATTAGTTTATTTTCTGTGGAAATTCAATTCGTGACTTGAGGAAGCAGGGTCGCATACAGATCTAGATGAAAGACACCTGCTATTTCCGCATGAAAGGATATTTTCTTATATGTTTTTAGGCATTTGTTTTGTCAGCTTAAGAAATCATGTTTGGTAACAGGTTTGAGTAAGTGGATGAGTGTATTTATATGTCTGAAGTCGCAAGTACCATCTAATAATTAGAGCTACAAAGATGTAGAAGACAGTTTGTTGGCAGCTTGCTCATTTCTGTTGCCAACAGCTGTAACTCACACAATGTTGGCATATGCCACCTTTACCTGGGGAATTGCAACACCTGCACCACTGTTCTGCCTCCTCTGCCAGCTCTATCCCACCACTTCCTTACCAGACAGGCCCACGAGCTCCCTTTGGTAGATGAACCTCCACCACCCTGTTGTGTTTGTTGCACATGTCCCAAACTGCACCTGGGCCTGAATCCTGGATCAGCAGCAAGAGGAAGAAAATGATGAAGTTCATTTGGGAGATGGCAAGGCTTTGATTTCTTTGACTTGGGTATATCTTTACAGTTCTTCCATCCCTGCTTCTGAGAATACTTTATTTCACTCTAAATCTCTTGATATCAAGAAAAGTAAACTTTACTTATACATCACAGGTCATAAAAATAGTAAATAACAAAGTAGAAAAATATAAAAAACACGTAAAATATATTTAGAACAGGGATGTCCAAACTTTGCAGCTTTAAGACTTATGAACTTCCATTCTCTAGCATCATTTGTATTCAGCAATTGCTTGAATATAAAAAGTCAAACACACCTAGTTTGGGCAAGTAATGTAAGTAAAAGATGGATTAGACAAGCTTATTATACTGGTCTCGTTCATGGAAGTAGAAGGGGAAACAAAATATATGTGGCTGGGTAGGACTGAAAATGTTTTGGAATGCCTTTGAAAGAGTTTTGGATTATAGCTGGGGACAGACTGAGATGGTCAACAGCACTTGAGTATCTTGAGGGCAACTGAAAGTTCTTTTCCCTGGGACCCTCAAGGCGCTCATTGTACTCCTCTAAACCCTCTCCAAGGAATAGAAGTCTCTCTTGAACAATTGTGACTGCATCATGCTGTACATTGTTTTGGCTTTGGTTCCCAAATGCAAATACCCTAAAATCAAAATTAAACAGTCTATTTATCTGGATTCTCCTTAAGTGTTAGTGCCTAGCCTCTTCTAGCGGCATATATCCTAAAGAACAATAACAAATGCTCAAATTTCAAGGACAACTTCTGAAAAAGTGGCAAATAAGCAATGAAAATAAAATTATAAATGGAATATATTGATCTTTTCATTCTTATTCATCTTGCAAGGGGACAGGTAGGACACTATCTTGAAAGCTGTGAAAACAGTGCCTTATGGAAAAACTCTCTACGGAAATTCTCAATTATGGTCATGGTTGTCCCAAAGGTGCTTTTCCATAAGGCAACTGTACTTTGTTTTTCAAAAATCCAGTGGCCTTTTGAAAAAGCACCTATGGGAAAAACTGCTGATGAATAAGGCTTTGTAAGAAATTAAAGAAATAGAGAATGCAGCCCATTTGGTCATTCAGAGAGCAACTGTGGTGTAGTGATTAAGGTACCAGGATAGAAACTGGAAAGATGTAACTTCTAGTCCTATTTTAGGCAGAAAGCTAGCTGGTTGAGCTCAGGTCAGTCACTTATCTCTTAGCCCTAGGAAGGAGGCAATAGAAACCCACTTCTGAAATTCTTGCCAAGAAAGCTGTAAGGACTAATGTCATAACAACACTGAAATAGATTGCTCTAAGAGAGGGTGACTATTCTACTGGGCATCGACTGAGATTTCATGAGAGAACAGGAAATGGTTTTGAGATTTGGTATCTTGTGTACAGGTGAAACTCAAAAAATTAGAATATCGTGAAAAAGTTCATTTATTTCAGTAATGCAACTTAAAAGGTGAAACTAATGTATGAGATAGACTCATTACATGCAAAACAAGATAGTTCAAGCCGTGATTTGGCATAATTGTGATGATTATGGCTTACAGCTCATGAAAACCCCAAATCCACAATCTCAGAAAATTAGAATATTGTGAAAAGGTTCAATATTCTAGGCTCAAAGTGTCCCACTCTAATCTGCTAATTAAGCCATAACATCTGCAAAGGGTTCCTCAGCCTTTAAATGGTCTCTCAGTCTGGTACAGTAGGAATCACAATCATGGGAAAGACTGCTGACCTGACAGATGTGCAGAAAATCATCATTGACACCCTCCATAAGGAGGGAAAGCCTCAAAAGGTAATTGCAAAAGAAGTTGGATGTTCCCAAAGTGCTGTATCAAAGCACATTAGAAAGTTATGTGGAAGGGAAAAGTGTGGAAGAAAAAGGTGCACAAGCAGCAGGGATGACCGTAGCCTGGAGAGGATTGTCAGGAAAAGGCCTTTCAAAAGTGTTGGGGACTTTCACAAGGAGTGGACTGAGGCTGGAGTCAGTGCATCAAGAGCCACCACACACAGACGGATCCTGGACATTGGCTTCAAATGTCGTATTCCTCTTGTCAAGCTGCTTCTGAACAACAAACAACGTCAGAAGCATCTTACTGGGCTAAAGAAAAACAGACCTGGTCTGTTGCTCAGTGATTCAAAGTCCTCTTTTCTGATGAGAGCAACTTTTGCATCTCTTTGGAAACCGAGGACCCAGAGTCTGGAGGAAGAATGGAGAGGCACACACTGCAAGATGTGTGAAGTCCAGTGTGAAGTTTCCACAGTCTCTGTTGATTTGGGGAGCCATGTCATCTGCTGGTGTTTGTCCACTGCTTCATTAAGTCCAGGGTCAACACAGCTGTCTACCAGGAGATTTTGGAGCACTTCATGCTTCCTTCCACAGACGAGCTTTATGGGGATGCTGACTTCATTTTCCAGCAGGACTTGGCACCTGCCTACACTGCCAAAAGTGCCAAAACCTGGTTTAATGACCGTGGGATTACTGTGCTTGATTGGCCAGCAAACTCACCTGACCTGAACCCCATAGAGAATCTATGGGGCATTGCCAAGAGAAAGATGAGAGACATGAGACCGAACAATGCAGAAGAGCTGAAGGCCACTATTGAAGCATCCTGGTCTTCCATACCACCTCAGCAGTGCCACAGGCTGATAGCTTCCATGCCACGCTGCATTGAGGCAGTAATTGCTGTAAAAGGGGCCCAAACCAAGTACTGAGTACATATGCATGCTTATACTATTCAGAGGTCCGATATTGTTCTATGTACAATCCTTGTTTTATTGATTGCATGTAATCTAATTTTCTGAGATTGTGGATTTGGGGTTTTCATGAGCTGTAAGCCATAATCATCACAATTATGCCAAATCACGGCTTGAACTATGTTGCTTTGCATGTAATGAGTCTATCTCATATATTAGTTTCACCTTTTAAGCTGCATTACTGAAATAAATGAACTTTTGCACGATGTTCTAATTTTTTGAGTTTCACCTGTAGCTTTGGAGAGTGGATAGATGGACAGACAGACTGAAAGATAGCCAGATAGAAAGATGCAAAGATAGGATAGGTCCTTGAGTACCACATTGCTAACCTAATTAAATATTTTCTAAAAAGTTTGTTGTAGCCCTGTATTGGCTAACAAAATTTTCATTTGTGAGATTGGTAGCAATAGGAATTAGTGTTTATGTTTTTTATTGGTTTGAGGTATTGTAGAGAGCTGTATTAATTCACAGTTCAATGAAGCATAAGAATATGAAATGCACCCTCAGGAATTTTTTTTGGCTTAAAAGAGAAAGTCAGTGTAAACATTCATCTCTAACATGGTATTTCAAAGCTATATTGGAATATTTATTATTAAAAAGGTTTAGCACATCAAAAATAGCAGCACTCAGAATCAAAATCACCTTCCCCAGATTTCTATGCGATATATTTTCCATATAATTTCATGTAGATAATTATTTATTGAACATGTAAACTTCTATTACGGTTAATCCCATTTTAATCTACAGCATTATTTAATTTACTTGGTTCTCTATTTTCCAGAGATTCCCTCTGCCCCAATACTTGCAAAGTTAGTTAGAACGGACTAAAACAAATAAAACAAATGAATTCCCTTTTCTCTCTGGGTTAAAAATATTATATATGGAACTAATTGTTGCTTTGTCTTTTGTGTTTTTAGCTGAATGTAATATATGCTGAACATGCCCCGTAGTCCAACATCAAGTGAAGATGAGATGGCTCAGAGCTTTTCAGATTATTCAGTGGAATCAGAATCAGACAGCTCCAAAGAAGAAACCATTTACGACACCATCAAGGCGACAGCAGAAAAGCCAAGTAGCAAAATGGAAGATGACCAGAATAACACATTAGTGATACGGATTATAATACCAGATCTACAGCAAACTGTAAGGTTAACCCCATGAAAAATCTCCTGATCAGATTTGTTCAACAGTGTGATTAGAATGTTTAATGATAAAAGACTTCTTGGTAGTTTTTCTGAAATATAAAATATAAATATAAAATCCATACATAGCAATTAAAGAGAATGTGGATGGTAACTTGATGAATATAGGTAGTCCTTAGTTGAGTATGGTAATTGAGACTGGATTCTATCACTAAACAATGCGATCATAAAGCACAATATGTGACAGTGCCAACTTACAATAGCAGTTCCAGTAGGTCCAGTAATGTCACATGATCACCATTTGTAACCTCCTGCTGGATTCCCTATTGACTTCATCAGAAGCCAGCAGTAACAGTACAGCTCCTAATCAGTTCTGCCTTCTTTGGCTTTCCAAAATCATCTTAAGTGGGTACTATTTGATAGGGAGGCAATTAATTAAAATGGAACTTAGAAAACAACAACATGTATTTTGAGGGAGACCAGGCCAGGAAATAGGAACCATAAGAAACACTAGAACTCTGTTGATATAAGCTATAATTACATAATCTTGAAAGCCTGAGGGCTGGGGGGGAAAGATTAGTTTTAGGTCACCAATGATATTTTACTGTTTTGTTCATATGATAGATACTTAAACCAAAAGTCAGAAAATAGTATTGAAAAATATGATTCAGTTAAGTATAAGTTTCCAATCACATTGATTTGGGGAATAAGAGATTAAACTGTGTGCTTTTATCACCAGAAAAAGGAATCACAATGCTAATGCATCTTCCAACAAAATGGATACCCATGCAACTATTGGCATTTAGAAATTTTGGGTGAATAACGAATGAAAGCACATATAGATTGAGCTTGGTTTGAGCTATAATCTCTATAGTTGATGGTGACTAAAATATAAGAATTTAATAAGCCAATATTTATTTAGCATTATTTTTCATTACTGAAATGTCCACTTCATTTGTATTAAAAAATCAAGAATAACTGGGAAAAAGTGCCTTAACTTTCTGTTTCCATTCCACTTTTACTTAATTTATGTTTACATTCTGCCTTAGCTAAATCATATATTATTCTATTTGTTTTCTGTGAATAGAACAAATACTTCACTGAAGGATCATGAGTAATTATTTCACCCATCTTAATATTTATAATTTCTTACAGAGATAGAAATTTTATTATTAATTGTACAGTGATCTGACAGGAATTACTGATGCAGAAGGTTTCCATGAGTATCAACTTCTGATGGACAAGAAATTTGGGCCACATTTTCATATCAATTTTTCTATTTAAAAATAATATGCAAACACAAACTTAAAATGTAAATTTATCCAATTATGGCAATGAAGTTCTCCATTAGGAAGTCTATGGGAACATGAATTAGGCAAAATATCACAAAATATTTGTAATTTACAAAGCAGAGTGTATTTTTTTAAATCTCAAAATGATACAATACTAAGTTTAACTAAATTAAAAAATAAATAAATAAGCAAGCTTTCTATTAGATCCTAGTTTGTAACATTTCAGAAAAATCTTTCTAAAAGCCCATAAACTGTCTTATATAAGGATAAAGTTTAACAATAAAGATATAAATATCTGAATAACCAAACCCAGAGAGAACCAAGGACCTCAGTTCAACCCTGAGCTACAAATGTTCTCTTCTAATTGTAAACGGCATTGATTCCATTTGTATGTACCTATTTCAGTCTGGAGATTGGCTGTCTTGCTACAGCTGTGCTTGGGAGAAGCTGTCAAATTAGCTGAGAAGCAGTGGAGCAGATGAGAAAACTGACCATCTATGCTCTCACATCCTCAGTTGATAACTTATACAGTAAATAAAATAGCCAAAGTGCACTTCATTTCATTTCATCTGCATTTTGCATTCTTATTGCAGAGGTTAAGTACTAACTATTTGACTAGGAAGGTGTTTGCTATTTCAAGTTCAGAAACTTCTCCAAAAAATGAGTGTCTGTTTTCCCAGATTTTGGCATAGATTTAGTGTTATACATTACACATCAAGTATCATTTGATGAAGTGTACTTAATCTTTAAAAAGATGGTATGTTTCCTAAGTATATTAAAATTCAGTATGCACTGAACCCATTGAGAATTTAATAGCCACATAATTTTCCTGTCACAGTTGTTCTTCAGGCAAGGCAAACAATTTGCATAGTCCTTTTTTTAATTCCCCTTTTGAATGTTAGCATATAAAATGCTCAAAATAATTTCACCCTTCTTTATTGGCATGTTCACTGATGCTAGAACATCTTCCATGAATGCTAATTGACATAATTTTATCCTCCACATGGCTTGCAAACCTGTATGTTTATTTTGCATAGAAAACAAATACTTCCAGTTTGTAGCTAAGAGCATTATCTTGGATAGAGCTATTACATGAACGAATATGTACCTGAAAGTGCATTCATACTTTATTAAATAGCTTATGTATCTAAAAATGAATCAGGGTCCCCTATATACACCAAGATTGAAATAATTTTGTAATCCAAAGTTTTTTAGTTGTCACTTTCCTATTACATAGAGCTCATTGGAAGGGTTTGAGATGGAACGACAAACCATTTATAGTCTGTTTTCTGAACCCTAAGTAGGAATTTGTGCTTTATAGTAGAAGATTATGTAAAGCTTTTCCTTCCTCTGACAGAACTTTAGTTTAGACTGTGGATCCAGTCATACCTTTCTTTATTTAAAAAAAACCTTAATTTTGCTTAAACATGTTTAAATTTTGAACGTACTTAAAAAACTGTGACCCTTAGTGACATCTTTTTCCTCAGTAAAGTACTTTTTGTTAATACTATGCAATTAAAGAAAAAAAATATTGTAGAAGAATTCCCTGTTCAACTTGAGAGAATTACAGAACTATTTTAGCTTTGAGCAGTTCAGACAGATAAATGTGTGATATTATAAATGCTACTTTACTTTTTAGGGATACCTCCGGATTAGTCTTGGAAAGGTTTAATACTGTATATTACATTTTTAATAAAAAAATCTAATCCCTCAAATCTATTAGTGAAATTCTAATGTACAATTCCATGAAAACATTTCCTTAGTAATAAAGAAATCTTAACTTGACCCAGACTTTATTATTTGTTTTTATAAATAGAGATTAATCCAAGTTAATTTCTGCTTAATATTTTGGACCAGAAGCTTCCAAATGTTTTTAACTCATAGCATATAGTATCTCATAGATGTTGCCGAGACATGAGAGGATAAATGGAAGCAGTCCATCCTTGGTGATGTCATGGAAGTTGGGATTCTGAGCGATGTGACATACCTGTGGAAATTTTGCAGCACATTCTCAGAAAACTGCTGCCTTAGTCTTTATGACATTCTCTTTTCTGGTGGAGACAGTATCCAGAAATGGGTTGACCTCGTCTTGCTAGCTGATTGGACTGAGTCTGTCAGAGTTGTGAGGACACACCTCTGTTACCAACAGTCCCCAGCTTTTGACTGAGTCAAGCAGCTAGGAAGCATGTGTCTCCAATTGCTCCATTCCTTGAGGAAAAAATTGGAACTGTTAAAATTGAAAATTCTTTCCTGGAAGGTATCTCCAGACCAGCCAGCTCCCAGTCTACCAATTTGTCTACCAAATTCGTGATATAAATGCTTGATACGCTCTGTTTTTTTATGACAGCTTTAAATGCTGTGGCTTTACATTTTCTGAAATGGTTGATTAATGCAATGTATTAATCATCATTTCACTGATTAATATTTGGTAGATATGACATTATTTTAGGATTGATTTTATACGCATCTGTTTATCAGGGCCATGAAGCCCAAGAGATGTACATCTGATATATGTTTACTTCTGTTATGTTCTCATCATACTCTAAATAAATAATAATAATTTTAGGATTATTAACCTGAGGGGCTTTCTTGTCAAATCTTTGTTAGTAATGTATCAGTTTTAGCTTTGTAAATAATTAGCTAACTTTTCATGGTCATAGAATCTTCTAAAAAGAAATTTGGGGACTTATGCAGTTAGCCTTCCTCTCCTTGAACATAATATATGTATCTGCCTGTAACACTAATTTCATGGTGTATTTATTTTGATTTTGGCTTGATGTATTTTGTGAAAAAATGCTCATTAACTTGATGCTACCTATTGATTAAAACTGTATGAGCTAGCAGTTTGCTGATACAGGCAAATTACTTGGTGGTAATTTGCCCACTTAAAGCTTTGGCTCCCAATTTAAATATGTTTAGTCAGTACCAAATTCACTTGATCTACTCTGATTTTATATCCAATTATTTCCTATTATACACCAAATATTTCTAAATGAGGTGTACTTAATCTTTAAAAAGAAGGTATGCATCATATTAAAATTCAGCAGGCACTGAGTAGTGAGCACACTGGGAATGTAATAGTCACATAATTTTCCTGTCATGGTTCTTCAAGCAAGAAAAATAATTTGCATAGCTTTTTTTTTTTTTTTTAAAAAAAAATCCAATATTCTGTTGCAATCTATTTCTTGAGCTAAGTTTTAAGGGATATCTATTGGAGCAGTCTGTGGTACTCTCTGAGCTTGCTTGTTTTCTTGCAGACATTTCATTACTATTGACCTCACCCCTTTCCTAAGAGGTCTGTAGGAGGCGTGCATATGCGCACCAACGTGCCTACTGTCCCTGTCCTATTGTTTCTTTTATTTTTTATTTTTCTGATATGTATCCATGTATTCATAACTATGTTTTTAGTTATACCTATTATCTTGTAAGCAATTGACAAACCAAATAAATAAATAAATAAATTGCCCAAACTAGCAAGAAAACAAGCAAATTCAGAGTACCAAAGGACTCCTTATTTCAAGCTTGAGCAACAAATATTCTCCTTTATTAGGATACCTATTTAGAAATATGAACCAAACAAATTTTGGGATTAACATAAAATGGAAAAGTTCAACCTCTTTTGATACTGAAATCCCAAATTGTTGGATCCTCTTTGGCTTTGTATAACAGAAGTAACGTCTATTCATGATATCTTTTGTGTTGTAGTGTGCTACATCTGGCATTTCAAGCCATTTTTCCAAGAATCCAGAATTTTATTTGAACTAAACCTTGATTCAAATTAATTAAGTTTACTGAATGAGGTTTAGATTTGAATTTTATTTTCACCTTCCTGATGGTATGTCCAGCTGAATTCAGTTGCATTTATTTCTGTTAATATGCATAGGTTTGTATCAGATAAATAGCTACACTCCTTTTATAATATCTAATAAGGTTTGTGATTAAATTCAGATTTCTTCAGCAAAGGTTAATACAATGCCATTATGCTTCTTTGTCTCTAGTTGTATTAATAGCATAGACAAAATTATATATTTGTAGTAGGTACATTAAATAGTAAAATTAACTGTTTATCTGGTATAGAATTGCTGATATAAATATCGAAATTGTCATGTGTGTCCCTTTTTTCTTTACAGAAGTGTATTCGATTTAATCCTGAGGCTTCAGTATGGATTGCAAAACAACGAATTCTTTGTACATTGAATCAAAGTTTGAAAGATGTTCTCAATTATGGCCTATTCCAGCCAGCAAACAATGGAAGAGATGGGAAATTTCTGGACGAAGAACGTCTTCTTATGGAATATCCACAAAATATCAACAAGGGTGTTCCATCCTTAGAGGTATTTTTAAAAAAAAGCTTATTTCAAGTTTAGAAACTAACAAGAAGTTATAATTTTAACAATCTAGTGGTTACAGACAAAGAAACAGTTTACAGTCTGTGGGTTATAATGTCTTTATGAGGTGTTGAAATCTAAAATTGAACCAGCAGAGTGACTTTGAAAAAAAGGTATCTAAAAATGGTGTTTAGATGATTGGCAGCTACATAATCCATGTAGGGACTGTGTTTAGCTTTTGGGGAACTTTGGATAAAATATTTTGCCATTGTGGAAACCTTGCTGAAAGGCATAATATATAAACAAACAAACAAACAAACAAATAAATAATGTAAAATAGGATCAGAAGAACCATTTTAATCTAACTCCAGTCCTGGGTTCCACTAACATTTCCATTCCATTAAATCTATTGTTTCTCATAAGACTTGAAGAATATTTTTATTTTCTTTCGTTATATTTGAAAACCTCACATCTCCCTCACAGACTACAATTTGGAAATCACTGAGATAACAATTACATGTTTAATGCTCTTATAGTAATTTATTTATTTAGAAAATTTATATTGCCTCCAACTTGCACATGGTGACTCCAGGCAGGTTACAGGACATAAAATCCCAATATAAAAGAAAAACAAAAATAAAAAAATAAAATAATAACCCCCACCTACCCCAGAGACAACACACATTCATACCAGCCATTTAATGGGCTCCATCCCGCTCTGGGTTCCCAGGCCTCCTGGCAGAACCACGTCTTCAGGGCCTTCCAAAAGAATGCTAGATTGGGGGCCAATCTAATTTTCAGATGGATGATGTTCAGTGCTGTGTAATTAACCCCTTGGTTCAAAGGGAAAATGGGTATCCTCAACTTATGACTACAATTGGTACCAGAATCTTGGTCATCAAATGAAATAGTTGTTAGCTGAAAGGTCACGTGACTGCCATATTTGCTTAAACTCAGCAGTCCTGGTAGATTGTTAAGCAGATGAAATCTTAGGTAAGGAATGTCTCACAGGGAGAAACCCTGAGAGGTTCTACTCAGGAGTTGAAAATATTCCCTGCTGAAATTCAAGCAGAATTTTCAGCCTCTGAGCAAAGTGATACTCATGTGCAGCCTATACTGGCTTCTCCTACTGGTGTTCCTAATCTTACTGCAGTTACTGCACATTCTTTGCTTGGATTTTGGCTTCCACTTATCTCTGGGAACTGGCTGAAAGAACTGCCTGCTGAAAGAGTTCAGCTCCCCTTCTATACATGAAAGGAAATTCCTTTGGTAGGAAGGGATGCAGGAATGGATCTGAAACCTTCAGGATTTTATCTCCGTTTCTGTACCCAATGAAGGAGTTTAGCTCCTTTCGGAAGGCAGCTCTTTCAGCCAATCCTCAGAGACAAGAGGCAGTCCTGTTGACAGGCAGCATCGCACAACTTTCTCTTCTGCCTTCCCCATTGACTTTCTGGTGAAGATAGAGAGAAGCTATTGCAGGGTACTTGGCAATGGGTTGTAAGTGCAGACTGGTTGCAGAGCACCCAAATCACGATCATATGCCCAAAGGGGTGGTAGTGCAACATTTTGCAGTGGCTAGAAGTGCTTTTATCATCACCTTTTAATGATCCCATAATCCCTTGTGGGATTATGTTCAGGCAACTGAATGGAGCTGAGTGTTTACTGTCTGGATGCCCTTCCTGTTGCCAATGCAGAGTGAGTTATATTCAGCAGATATATTCTCATCATGCTCAGAGAGAGAAATACCTGCCTCTACCTAGAATTGACTCACAACCTTTTGATTGTGAGGCGAGAACTTCACCTCTAGGCCACTGCACCACTCAAATGACTAGAAGAGTTTTGTGCACTATAAAACATCCTTTCTGAAGCCATCATAATTATGGGCTGTTATTAAACAGTTGTAAGTCAAGTGCTACTTTTATTTAATTTTTGTAGATCGACATAGCTATTATAAAACTTTTAAGACACTAAATTACTGAGTCTGTGTATTCCAGTTATATTTTTATGTCTGCTTATGAAAGTAAGAGCAGAGCATAGATAATGCTTCACTGCATTATAACTACTGTATATTATAATATTCAGATTATAACTTGTACAAATATTGTGATTTTATCCTCATCTATAAGAATACCAGAAATCTTTCTGAAAATGTTACTATTGTATAATTGAATGCATGGTATTAAAGAAGATGCAGTAATAATAAGAATAATTATATTTGTATAGAACTGAGATTTATCATAGTTAGTAATATATGTGCCAATTTCTTCCCATAACTAAGTAGAAATTAGAGTGAGTTATAGAGATATGCTGAGTTCAATTTTTTAAAATGTTTTTTATTTGCCTCTACTTCTAAGTTCTTACTATGTTTTCATGTTTGATTTGGATGTTTTGATAGACTTTGATTCTTTGGCCACATTAGTCTATGGACTTTAGAATTATTTCTCACAGAACTATCAATGCTACTTTTTCTTGATTGAAAGAACTTTGCAATCACTATCTAAAGAAGAATGGAAGAATGAAATAAATGTGATTTTCAATAACCCAATCTAGTTAATTTTACTGAATAGAAGAAAAACATATTTAGACTAAAGGATTATCTATCTGAAATTGAATGTCTGAATCTCAAGCTCCACTTTTCAATTATATTCATTTTAATAGGGATTCAGTAGGAAAAATTGAGAGACTGATTGAAAAAAAATTGGGGTTGTGGTCCATTATAGCAAAAACTAAAGTAGGGCTTTTCCTCAGTGATTCCTGGTATATTAAAAGGATGGGGTAAATGCCTGAATAATGTTACATAATTGTTCACTCAACTATTATCCATAATTCATTATGCTGTGCCCTTTGGCAACTATTACAAAAATTAATCTGCAAAGAAAGGAGAAAACAAATTGTGCAATGAATGGAAATGGGAAACATAAATTAATTTTGTACAGAGAAAAAGATCATGTGAGCCTCACCAGGTAGGCTGGGCAGGAAACACGACCAGATAAACTAATTCCACTTTAATGTAAATGTTAATGTACATTAACAGAATCTTGCAAGTATGAAAGTACAATTCTCCTGCTATCACCTTTATACCCTTAGGAGGGTGTTTCCTTCTGAGTCTCTTGCTGTAGCCTCTTGTGGGCTACAACTTAGATCATTTTTAAGTTTGTTTCTCTGCTCATTATTCAGTTGTGGGCTTTCCCCCACCCCCTTTATCTGGCCATTTCCTAGGTAGAAACTCTTCATCCATTTTCCAGGGTAATTCCTGCATACTAGATGAAACCTGCAGTAGTTTAAAAAAAACCATTTCATCTCCACTAAAATTGATGTAATTTTGGCAGATATAGTTTAAAATATTTCATCTCCACTTTGTGACTACTGAACAATGTTGACTTGTAATTCCACTGTAACTCCTCTGTTTCCTTCTGAGCAGAAATAGACTTTCTATGGCTCACAGTGTAGAAATGTCAGTTTCTAAACTAAACTATATTTAGTTAAAACTTTTGCTTATTTGGCAAATAATTTTTAGAAGCCAAAAACAAGCTAAGTCAATATACACTGCTCAAAAAAAATAAAGGGAACACAAAAAGAAGACATCCTAGATCTGAATGAATGAAATATTCTTATTAAATACTTCGTTCATTACATAGTTGAATGTGCCGACAACAAAATCACACAAAAATTATCAATGGAAATCAAATTTAGCAACCCATGGAGGTCTGGATTTGGAGTTACACTCAACATTAAAGTGGAAAAAAAAAAACACTACAGGCTGATCCAACTTTGATGTAATGTCCTTAAAACAAGTCAAAATGAGGCTCAGTAGAGTGTGTGACCTCCACGTGCCTGTATGACCTCCCTACAAGGCCTGGGCATGCTCCTGATGAGATGGTGGATGGTCTCCTGAGGGATCTCCTCCCACACCTGGACTAAAGCATCGTGGCGTTGGAACGTGGCATTGGTGAATGATGTCCCAGATTGTTCAATTGGATTCAGGTATGGGGAACGGGCGGGCCAGTCCATAGCATCAATGTCTTCATCTTGCAGGAACTGCTGACACACTCCAGCCACATGAGGTCTAGCATTCTCTTGTATTAGGAGGAACCCAGGGCTAACCGCACTAGCATATGGTCTCACAAGGGGTCTGAGGATCTCATCTCGGTACCTAATGGCAGTCAGGTTACCTATGGCGAGCATATGGAGGGCTGTGCGGCCCCCTAAAGAAATGCCACCCACACCATTACTGACCCACTGCCAAACCGGTCATGCTGAAGGATGCTGCAGGCAGCAGAACGTTCTCCACGGCGTCTCCAGACCCTATCACGTCTGTCACATGTGCTCAGTGTGAACCTGCTTTCATCTGTGAAGAGCACAGGGTGCCAGTGGCGAATTTGCCAATCTTGGTGTTCTCTGGCAAATGCCAAACGTTCTGCATGGTGTTGGGCTGTAAGCACAACCCCCACCAGTGGACGTCGGGCCCTCATACCACCCTCATGGAGTCTGTTTCTGACCGTTTGAGCAGCCATATGCACATTTGTGGCCTGCTGGAGGTCATTTTGCAGGGCTCCTCCTGTCCTTCCTTGCACAAAGGCGGAGGTAGCGGTCCTGATGCTGGGTTGTTGCCCTCCTACGGCCTCCTCCACGTCTCCTGATGTACTGGCCTGTCTCCTGGTAGCGCCTCCATGCTCTGGACACTACGCTGACAGACACAGCAAACCTTCTTGCCACAGTTCGCATTGATGTGCCATCCTGGATGAGCTGTACTACCTGAGCCACTTGTGTGGGTTGTAGACTCCATCTCATGCTACCACTAGAGTGAAAGCACCGCCAGCATTCAAAAGTGACCAAACCATCAGCCAGAAAGCATAGGAACTTAGAAGTGGTCTGTGGTCACTACCTGCACAACCACTCCTTTATTGGGGATATCTTGCTAACTGCCTATGCTTTCCACCTATTGTCTATTCCATTTGCACAACAGCATGCAAAATTGATTATCAATCAGTGTTGCTACCTAAGTGGACAGTTTGATTTCACAGAAGTGTGATTGACTTGGAGTTATATTATGTTGTTTAAGTGTTCCCTTTATTTTTTTGAGCAGTATACTACACGTTACAGCAGCCTTCCTTCCTTCCTTCCTTCCTTCCTTCCTTCCTTCCTTCCTTCCTTCCTTCCTTCCTTCCTTCCTTCCTTCCTCCCTCAAAGGAATTTCTAATTTGTGAAAAGATAGGAACAATTTCAATCAGATAATTAGTAAAAATATTGTACGCAATTAAACAAAGCAAAGGACATGTGATAGTAAGCCAAAAGCATAGTTAAGAAAGCTTAATTTTGATTTAGTGAATACTGTAGATGAGTTGACAAATTGTGATTTCCTGACACATTACAAATTGAAACTGTGGGCTGAAGTACTAACTCTGATAATCTCTAGATGCAATCTGATTAATGATTCCAGAAATAGCCTATTATTTTGCCTCTATTAATCAATGCACCAAGATTTAGAATCAGAAGAAAAATGCAAGAAGAGAAGCTGTCTTATTTGTGCTTACCTGTAAGCATAGAAGATGATGCTGTACATGGTTTTATAGAGCAGTTAATGCAAAGGTTATGTCAAAGAAACTTAAATGTTTTCTTAGATATTTTAATTTTTTAATTCTTTTTATATATTTTTATAATTATTTGAATTTATGCCGAAAAACTGATTTATCTTTTGCATAATATATTTTCCCAGAAATTATTTCTAAAAATATAAGTAATACTGGCATATTGTTCACTTTTCAGTTTTGCTACAAGAAAAGAGTCTATAGACAATTAAATCTTGATGAAAAACAAGTAGCCAAATTGCATACTAAGGTAAGTCCATGTTCAAACAAAATCTTTTATGTTAATGATATACTATAGACTTCTAGTTATTTTAAAGAGAAACAGATAAAAAAACAATGTATTTAATATTTTCCAAGAATCTAGAACATATAGAATATATTTAGAACAGAATATATTTGTGCAGACAAAATATGGATGGAAAGTAGAATACAACTTTTTATCCATAGTACAGATTAGTTCATAAAAAGTTACCACATGTAGATATATAATCCAAACTAGTCTTGCCAATAGCAAGGGACTATGAGAACTAGTCCAAGACACATATGATGATGGGGTGATAAAACTGCCAATCAAAGCAGGGCAATGCTGTGGGAGTATTGAACTGAGGAAAGGAGGATTTGGAAAACAAAATATAGTCACAGAAGCCTACTTTAGGAGACCCTTCAACTTATTAGAAAGATATGATTATATTTAGCATCAGGAAGGGAAAATATTGACATTATAATACTAAGTGAACCAGTTTATAACTAAAAGTCACTGGGAGTATAAATTTAATTCATTATTATTGTTTAATCCACTATTATTAAATTTAATTTATTATAATAACCCATTTTAAATTATTTAATAGAAATGAGTTTAGGGTTAGATTAGGGTTAGGGTTAGAAGTGACTGATCCATCCTAGATCTTTCCGCACACTTCACCTAGTCATGTTATCTCAAAGTCATAGAGAAATGAGGAGGGAAATTTGATGTTGGCAGCAAGAGCAGCAAATTATTTGAGGTCTTCAGAGTTAACAGATAATATTTTAATTTTGAAAACCCCAAAACGCATCCACAATAAGAAGGCTGTATGAAAGGTTCTGTGCTAGTTCTTTGTTTAAAATACTGCCTTTATGAAAATAATGTTAATGGTAATGTCTGGAGCAAAGTGTAATAATGCATATGGTGACATAATTGCATAAATACTGTTATTACAAACTCTTATTAGGACATATGACATTGTAAATTGCAACTTTGGTGTAGTGGTGATGTTCCTTTGCACAAAGTCATAAAAGACAAGATGATAGTCACAGTGGTTGATTGAAGCTCACTTCTTTCTACATGTGTGAAATGTCAATAACTCTCCTGTGGACATTTGTACATATGAATGTTAATTTATGACCATGGAATATCTCAATGAGATACAATATTGCTGTAGTATTCAAATACCTAGCAATGATCTAAAATTCAAACAAAATGTTTAGCAGGTAACAATGAGGAATATTTATGTAAATTAGGGGAATTAAATGTTTTATAAATAACGCAATATGCATTGATTAGTTTATTATTTGCAAATTATCCTAATCTTTATTGGGCCTCCAAGCCATGGAAATTTTACAGACTTGTTTTTTTACCAACTACAAAAGGATCTTGCTTCTAATTCTGCAAGGAGCACATAGCCATTATAACTGAAAGTCATTAATAACTTTATCCCTTATAATTTGATCAGTTGTAATTAACTCATGCATTTGTTAGATTGCATGATAAATAATTCTAATAATTCTTTCTGGAATGTCTTGTAAGACTTAATATACATCCTACCTAAAATATACAACCTAATCTCCATTGTAAATCGGAAAAGCATTATATATCTTTTTACAACATCTCAATAATACTAATAATAATTCAAGAGTGCATAAATTTCATGTAGGAAATATACTCCTTTGTGATTTGTCCCTTAACTCATATTTCAGAGGTAAATAAGTAGTAGGTGAGAAGATATGTTGAATATGGACGGTTTCCTGAATATTTGTGTATGATTTTGTATCTAAAAATCTGTCATTTTTTCCTCTAAGTGAAATGTTTATCCTACAATAAATATTTTTCAAATTTCAGGCTAATTTTCGAAAATTTATGGACCTTGTTCATCACTGTTCAGTTGAAAAACTAATGAAGATGCTAGACCGAGGACTTGATCCTAACTATCATGACTTAGAAAATGGAGGTATGAATTAAACCAAGCTGTTAGTAAGACATTTATTTATTTAAAAATGAAAAATGTTAAATGTGTAAACTGTTGAACATGCATAATAAAACCCTATTAGTTGACTTCTAGACAGTTTGTTTTCATTCTTGTCTACTGTAGAAACCCCACTAACTCTGGCAGCTCAACTTAGCAATACTGCAGAAGTAATCAAAGCACTGAAAAATGGAGGAGCTCATTTAGATTTTAGAGCCAAAGATGGAATGACAGCATTACATAAAGCAGCTAGAGCCAAGAATCAACTGACCCTGAAGGTAAATTGAACAAGGCATATTGTTTTTAATAAAAGAAATATAGGTAAAAAATCCTGCACTAATTTCCAGTATGCTTAATGGGTTGGGTTTTTTTGCTCAAAGGTTTCTATCTTTAGCTTTTGGCTTTCAAGACTTATTTTCAAAGATGAATTTATTTGATAAAAAGGAAAAGAATGTGGAAACTTTACTTTGTTAATTGTCATACAGTGTAATATTTGTCTTTGGGAAAATGGAATATAGGTAGTCTTCCACAGATGATCACAATTAAGCCCAAGATTTCTGTTGCTAAGTGAATCATTTCCTAAGTGAGTTTGGCCTATTTTACGACCTTTCTTGTCACAGTTGTTAAGTGAATCAGGCTTCCTTATTGACTTTGCTTGCCAGAAGGTTAAAAAAATGATCACATGACCCCAGGGATAGTGCAACTGTCATAAATATGAGTCAGTTGCCAAGCATCTGAATTTTGATAATGTGACCATGGGGAATGCTGCAATGGTCATAAGTTTGAAAAATGGTCATAAGTCACTTTTTTCAGTGCTGTTGTAACTTTGAACAGTCACTAACTGTTGTAAGTCAAGAACTACTTGTAGTTCAAACGTTATTAATGAAGGTGGTTTCAATCAAATATATTTATTCTGCTTGTTCTGTAATAATCACTAATTTTGCTTTGTAAATTTGAAAGCACACAGATAATGCATGTAATACAAGCACTAGATTCAGTCTCCTGAATTATTAGAAATTGCAGTATTACCCTATGAATTTCACTGTAGAGACAAGAACATGCAAAAGGTGAGACTAGAAGAAATGCATGAATATCCCCTTTGTTTTTATTGTAAATTTGGAAACCAGACTTTCTAAGTAAAATACACTTCCCAGAAGCATCTCCATGTGGGGGGAGGGGGCGTGAAAAAAGGAAAATTGGTCCAATAAAAGCAAGAGTTCTGATGGCATGATTCAAGCATGTCCCTTTTCTGTGTAATTCATGATGTCTCTTTACTTTCAAAAAGATATGGTGTTGGCATTCAAGATATTTCCAAGTAAATAGTCATGCCGTACTACTCATAACTTTGTGTATGTAACAATCAGAAACATACTTGCTTTGCAGAGCGCACAAACTAAAATGTGGTTTGTTTACTTTTTCTTAGTGCAATGCATGAATCCAGCAAATTAATGGTTTGCAAACCATAATCTGTAGATTAGTATTATTTATAAAACCATCATTCTGTTTAGTCAACAAATAATTGCTTAACCAAAAGGAAACAAACAATATAGTTATATGGTTCACTATATTCTCTAAGGGCTGTTCTCAAATAAGAATTCATTGGACTGCATGATCAGTTTACCACTATACTGAAAAGGATGAAATGTAGAAATAACAATCAATTCACCTTCAGAATTTTGTTAAAACTTAAAATTACCTTACAGACTCTCTTAGATCTTGGAGCATCTCCAAACTACAAAGATAGCTGTGGGTTGACACCACTGTATCACACTGCTGTAGTAGGAGGCGATCCATCTTGTTGTGAGTTGCTACTACATGAACATGCTATGGTTGGTTGTAGAGACGAAAATGGATGGCAGGAAATCCACCAGGTAGAAAAGTTACACTAAGATAATTATCAATTTTTCTGTGACACTTCTATCTTTTGTTCAAATATTTGGTAATTGTATAATCTATGTCATGAAAAGATATGAAAGAGAGGTTCTGAAATCAGTTGCACTGAATCCTCCAAATCCATTGTACTTAAAAAAATTGCTTCAGTAAAAATGACTTTAAACAAAACTGTTCTTTACTAAAATCATACAACAATTTGAAACATATTTTTATTGCTCTATATAATATATAGAGAGAGACTGTGAGTTCTAGTTCTGCCATGAAAGTCCTCTGGGTGACCTTGGACCAGTCACACACACTCAGCACAACTTCCCCCACAGGGGTGGCGTTGTGGAGAAAATGGAAGGAGGCTGTGTTCGCCACCATGAGTTCTGTATAAAAATAATAAAGGTGGAATACAATACAACATAATACAATACATTACAATACAGTACAGTACAGTACAATACAATACAGTACAATGCAATGCAATATAATACAGATGATATTCTGGATATTTTGTATGCTAACATACTATTCACTTTTGCACAGAAATTATTTACTTGTGTATTCATTTTCACAAAAGCATCAGCTTTTTGATGATTTTTAGCTGTCTCAGTGAAAATATTCATGATGTTTTCTGTTGGTCCTTTCTGTGTCCTTTGGTCAGTTCAACTTTATTATGAGGAGACTATTTATTTTGTTTCAGTAATTTCTTTAGTTGTGTCTGATATTTCTCTAAATAGCTACTTTATGTTTCTTGATAATAAATGTTAATTTTGTTAACAAAATGAAAAAGTTACTTATTGTATTGGTAAAAAGATAATGAAAAGTTAATAAAGGATGTAGGTACATTTTTACTTCTCCTTCAATGAAAGTTTTCATGGAGTGATTAAGTCCCATAGTTCCAGTTATTGAAAAGAGGATCTTTAACTGTTAGAATTCTGCTTTAATTTTATAGCAAGTGCATGTATTACTTTTAGAACAATTATTTTAAAGTTCTTCTCAATGCTTATAGTGCCCTCTTGAGCTGATCAATAGAATTAACTTCATTGGGCAATGCTAGATTTTCTCATTTAGCATATCATATCAGTAGTTCTGAGAATTTCTGAGGAGCTAAGCCATAAGTGTGCTCATATGACAGACTCTTCTGGGTCTAACTTAATCATGGTTTAGTTAGCACAGTTAAGCTTAGAGTTAGTAAATGATTAAAAATTTGGCAGAAATAAATTTCTCTCCAATTTAAAAAGTAGGATAAATATCTTTAAAAATGGAGAAGAAGAGCAGATTTCAAAAAAAAAAAAAAGGAAAGAAAGAAAGAAAAAATAGATCTAGATAAAATTCTTTTAGAGTGATATCTTGAATTAAAAGATCACAGATTTACATGAAATTTACCCCTTAGGAAAGTGCTACATCTCTATGTATTTCACTCATTTCTTATCTTTCTTGTATAAAGCATGTATACATTTTGCTTTCATTTTCAGTAAGACTTTGTTGACTGTCATATATTTAGTCATAATTTTCTAATAAAACAATTTTGTGTATAGGTAATCCTCGACTTATAACCACAACCGAGCTCAACATTTATGTTCCAAGTGAGAAATTTGTTAAGTGACCCTTGCCCCATTTTATGACTTTTCTTCTTGCCCCATTTGTTAAGTGAATCACTGGAGTTGTTAAATTAATAACATGGTTGTTAATTGAATCTCATTGACTTTGCTTGCAAAAGGTGATCCCATGACCCCAGGACACTGCAACTGTCATAAATATGAACCAGTTGTCAAGCATCCAAATATAAATCATGTGACCATGGCTGCAATGGTCGTAAGTGAGAAAAATGGTCATAAGTCACTTTTTCAGTGCTCTTGTAACTTTGAACAGTCACTAAAATGAATTGTTTTAAGTCGAGGACTACCTATATTCTGTATTTCCTAGTTTGTATTAAGAACAACCACAAAAATGCAGCATTAGTGCTTTTAGCTATACATGTAGTCCTTAACTTGCAATCACAACTGAGAGCAGAATTTTGGTTGCTCAACAAGTGTAACATGTCCAATTTTATAATATTTTTTTTCAAAGTTTTTATTTTTTACAACAAACATACGAACAAAACATAAAAACATACAGCCCTCTTTCAATTATATACATACAGTGTGTCAGTTGGTTACAATCTTTTGTGCTATCCTTTTTTTACCATTACTCACAAGTTGTATAAATTCTCACCTTATCGGTCTAGCTTGTGTTTATATAATATCAATTATTAAACATTCATTTGACTATTTTTCCATCATTTTATGAGATATTCTAATTTTCATTATGATTTAATCTTATACATTCATCCAATGGTTATATATTTTATATTGTATTCTTTATCAGTCTATTAACTTTTATTGTAAGGCTTACTAATCTATTTCTTTACCATGTCTTTTTATCTAACCATTGATAAAATAAATCCCTTATCATATAAAATTGTTTATCCCCTTGTTCTCTAATTTCAAATGTCAATTTACTCATTTTGGCACAGTCCATGATTTTCTTAACAATTTCCTCCTGCATAGGTATTTTTTCATTTTTCAAATTCTTAGCAAATACAATTCTAGCCGCTGTTAAAACATTTACAATCAAATACACTGCTCAAAAAAATAAAGGGAACACAAAAATAAGACATCCTAGATCTGAATGAATGAAATATTCTTATTAAATACGTTGTTCATTACATAGTTGAATGTGCTGACAACAAAATCATACAACAATTATCAGTGGAAATCAAATTTAGCAACCCATGGAGGTCTGGATTTGGAGTTACACTCAAAATTAAAGTGGAAAAAAATGCTACAGGCTGATCCAACTTTGATGTAATGTCCTGAAAACAAGTCAAAATGAGGCTCAGTAATGTGTGTGGCCTCCACGTGCCTGTATGACCTCCCTACAACACCTGGGCATGCTCCTGATGAGGAGGCGGATGGTCTCCTGAGGGATCTCCTCCCACACCTGGACTAAAGCATCCCTCAACTCCTGGACAGTCTGTGGTGCAACGTGGCATTGGTGGATGGAGCGAGACATGATGTCCCAGATGTGCTCAATTGGATTCAGGTATGGGGAACGGGCGGGCCAGTCCATAGCATCAGTGCCTTCGTCTTGCAGGAACTGCTGGCATACTCCAGCCACATGAGGTCTAGCATTGTCTTACATTAGGAGGAACCCAGGGCCAACCGCACCAGCATATAGTCTCACAAGGGGTCTGAGGATCTCATCTCGGTACCTAATGGCAGTCAGGCTACTTATGGCGAGCATATGGAGGGCTGTGCGGCCCCCTAAAGAAATGCCACCCCACACCATTACTGACCCACTGCCAAAACGGTAATGCTGGAGGATGTTGCAGGCAGCAGAACATTCTCCACAGTGTCTCCAGACCCTGTCACATCTGTCACATGTGCTCAGTGTGAGCCTGCTTTCATCTGTGAAGAGCACAGGGTGCCAGTGGCAAATTTGCCAATCTTGGAGTTCTCTGGCAAATGCCAAACGTCCTGCACGGTGTTGGGCTGTAAGCACAACCCCACCTGTGGACATCGGGCCCTCATACCACCCTCATGGAGTCTGTTTCTGACCATTTGAGCATCCACATGCACATTTGTGGCCTGCTGAAGGTCATTTTGCAGGGCTCTGGCAGTGCTCCTCCTGTCCCTCTTTGCACAAAGGCAGAGGTAGCGGTCCTGATGCTGGGTTGTTACCCTCCTACGGCCTCCTCCACGTCTCCTGATGTACTGACCTGCCTCCTGGTAGCGCCTCCATGCTCTGGACACTATGCTGACAGACACAGCAAACCTTGCCACAGCTCGCATTGATGTGCCATCCTGGATGAGCTGCACTACCTGAGCCACTTGTGTGGGTTGTAGACTCCGTCTCATGCTACCATTCGAGTGAAAGCACCGCCAGCATTCAAAAGTGACCAAACCATCAGCCAGAAAGCATAGGAACTGAGAAGTGGTCTGTGGTCACCACCTGCAGAACCACTCCTTTATTGGGGATGTCTTGCTAACTGCCTATGTTTTCCACCTATTGTCTATTCCATTTGCACAACAGCATGTGAAATTGATTGTCAATCAGTGTTGTTACCTAAGTGGACAGATTGATTTCACAGAAGTATGATTGACTTGGAGCTACATTGTGTTGTTTAAGTGTTCCCTTTATTTTTTTTAGCAGTGTATTTCAATTCTTTACAATATATTTCTGGTATAATTCCCAATAAAAATATATCAGGTTTAAAGTCTATGTGTTGTTTTGTCATTTTTTCCAACCATGTGTGGATTATAGTCCAATATCTTTTTGTATCCGAGCATGTCTACCACATGTGGTAATATGAACCAGGTATCTGATGACATTTCCAACATTTATCTGATTTATTCTTGAACATCCTCGCAATTCTCATCAGGGATAAGTGCCACCTGTAAAACATCTTATACAAATTTCCTTTATATGCAGTTGACATTGTCATTTTATAATTTTGAGACCACAATTTTTGCCATTTATCTAAATCAATCCCATATCCAATTTCCCCCCCCCACGCGATCATTGTTTCTTTTACTTGTTCTTCCTCTAATTTAAACTCTAGCAAATGTCCATAAAGTTTTTTTATTACTTTTTCATCAGTACCTGTCAAAATTTTATCTTAATCATTCAACTTATCATAGATGCTTTCTGTTTTAACATCTTTATCAAATCTAGATTGTATTTGCAAATATGAAAACCAATTCATTTTTACACCTTGTTCTTCCAACGCTTGCATAGATTTAAGTTCACCCTTTTCATTCAATATCTCACCATATCTAACTGTTTGTTCCTTTTTATATATTATTGGATAGGAAAAAGCTTCAATAGTAGATAACCATAGCGGAATTTTTAAATAATATTGCTTTTTTATCTTCTCCCAGTTTAGAAACAATGCTTCTTGAATATAATGTCTTCTAAAATACCCCTGAGTTTTAGTTCCCTTATACCA